ATATAAGCAGCTGTCTTATGGGGACTGCAGAGCAGATTTTTGTGGATGACCTGTTGCTCTCCCATACCACCGGCATAAACGCTCATATGTAATTCAATCTTGTCTCTGCTTAATTGGCTCAAGTAGTGACAGGCAGCTGGACCCATTGGTTCTCCGATTACAAAACAATGATATAGCTTACCGAAGCGGTTCTCAACCTGTGGGTCTCGACCCCTTTGGTGGCTGAACGACCCTTTCACAGGGGTCGCCTAAATATCTGCATATCAGATATTTACATTACGATTCTAACAGTAGCAACATTACAGTTATGAAGTAGCAACGAAAGTAATTTTATGGTTGGGTCACAACATGAGGAACTGTATTTAAAGGGCCAGAAGGTTGAGAACCACTGGCTTACCCAGTACTCATCTAATTCAACTTAAGCCTTACATATCTCAACATACTTTTAAAATGCAATAATAAAATACGTGGGATCTGGTGAATAAAGTTAAGTGAATGAATAAGTACAATTATATTCACCTCTGTTTTTCATTTTATTCTTGTTCTTCTATGTTCTTCCTGGTTTATTTGCTTTGTCTCTTTTCATAACATTTTTTTTTCCTGAGGTTCTAAAACCAGTAAAATCGAATTCAGATTTTTAAAGCTGCTATTCACTAGCTCCTAGCATGACACTCAATCTATAACTAGCTCATTACACAAAATATATTTAATTTTATCTTCACTTCCTATCAACTGTTTTAGAATAAAATACGATTCAAAGTCACTGTTCCAGTTCAAATTTTTCCCAAACTGTAAATATAAATGTTCTACACCAGTACTTTTTTCCCCTCACTCCAACAAAACTGGAATTGTGTTAAGGTTTGGTGATAGAGACACCATAGTAAGGCATGATCCCTACCCTCAAGGAGCTCAAAATCTGCTGAGGGGGAATAAGGAGGGAAAAGTAAAGTTTGACTCTACTAATCTATTGAATGTGTCCCAATTGTCACTGGAGAGGTTTCCGGAATCCCTCCCTTTTCATTGTACCCGTGAAGGTCATGTAATCTTAAGAACCAGAAAAGTTTTAACAGTTATCTCCAAGGCAGTAATCCCTAGCAAGCCACTCCTATCCCCCTTGTTTGAACAGTTACATTCATTTCAGGAAGACTTTTTTTGGTTCTTTCCCACAGCATCCCAGCCTCATTTGAGAGGATAAAATTGGCCTGAGATCTTGGCTTAACTACTGAGTTGGGGAGAAGATAAGTATAATGGCTAACTGTGGGCTGCCTACTTTGTAGTCTGGGCATTTACTAGCTTTGTGGAGAGAGGAAGAAGAGACAAACACTGATGTGAGAGAAAAACACTGATAGGCTGCCTCCTGTATGTGCCCTGACTAGGGACTGAACCCGAAATCTAGGCATGTGCCCTGACCGGGAATCGACCCCGCAACCAGCTGGTGGACAGGAGGACACTGTAACCAACTGACCCACCTGGCCAGGGCGCCTTGGGCTTTTTTATCTGTAAAATGAGCGTGATTAAAATTGTGCCTCAATGTTGATATGAGGATTAAATAAGCTATTAGTGTTACTGATTTGAGTTAAATTAAAACGTATTTTGTATAATAAATATGAGTTATTAAGTTTTTAATGTGTTGTTAATATAATAAAGTGCTAGGATAGCACCTCATCTACAAGCACTTATTTCTTAGCTGTTATTAATTCCATTTTATCTTCCTCCTCTCGAGGGCAAAAATGGGTTTTATTTGTTATGGTATCTCTCATGGCATACACCACAGTGCCCCTCTATTTGTGTTCAGTAACTAAGGCTGAAAGAATAATGCGCCTCGTCCTATTTTCAACAGTCCGTATTGGAAACACTTAAGAGACACTAACCTTCAATAAAATGTGAACCTTGAGTAACAAATTCCAGTAACTGGTCAAAAATTGCAGTAATTGCCTTCTTAGCCAGCACAAAGCGTTTCAGGGGAGAAGCAGTTTCTGCCATGATGCCACTGGGAGGGAGAAAATAACAAGTCAGAAGGGCACGAATTAACCTGGGCCGCAAACACCTGCAAATCAGCGACACGGATGAACTTACCCGGGGAAAGGAAACCTCCTGCCGAGACTGTTCGCACAGTCCCGGGCGAGCAGGGTTCCAGCCGGACAACTGGAGACGCTTTGGGGTAGGATGCCACTAAAACAAGTGAAAATCCCGGCTGCGATGTCTACTTTATTTCCCTTTGGTGAAGATGAAGCGAACTGAGGCTAAACTGCGACTACATGCGACTCTTAAGTGGATCGGCAACAGGGTTCGCGGGAAGCCGAGTTCACCAAGGGTAAGGGATTAAGTTCCTCGGCCTGGCGCTCCAGGTGGGCGGAGGTGGCCATGCAGGGTGAAGAAATAAAATTCCAAGGCCATACTTGCACACTGACGTTAGAGAGACGCAGTCCTCACAACGAGGAAGGGCAAGGCTTACAGCGAACAGTGACGTTTGCAGCCCAAGCACCAAGAACTTCCAGGAATAGAAGTTCAAAGGGGGAAAATGTCCCTGACAGCCTCTCATGGAAAAGGCACTAAACCAGCGGTTCTCAACCTGTGGGGCGCGACCCCTTTGGCGGTCCAACGACCCTTTCACAGGGGTCGCCTAAGACCATCCTGCATATCAGATATTTACATTACGATTCATAACAGTGGGTCACAACATGAGGAGCTGTATTTAAAGGGCCAGAAGGTTGAGAACCACTGCAAACACACACACACAACAGAAGAATAAACACCCATCCGCGTGTGTGCGTGTGTAATGGAGCAGAGCGGGCACAAGGAGAGCTGAGGATCGGGAACCGACCGGGCGCAGGAGCCGCGTGGGACAGGCGGGCGACGGCAGCGCCCGCTTCAGCCCGGGGACAGCGCCTACCTGGGGGAAGGCCTTCCTTCCACGCCGTGCACCGCGGCCGCGGGACCCCGCCGGCAGGGCTAGCGGCCAGACCCGCCCCGCCCCGCGCGCCGTCCGGACCCGGCTCCCACTTCCCGGGCTTCGGCCTCGCGGGCTCCTCGGGCCGGACCCGCCCGCCGCCCGACTCGCTCGCTCCCGTCCCGCAGGACCGCGGCGGCGGCGACTCGTCACAGAGCACCCGGCGTACGACTCCCCGCCCCGTCCCTGGCCGCACGAAGGTCACCCCGGGCGAAGGACCCCGGCCGGCGGCCAAGGCGGATGACACTCACACTGTCCCGGCTCCCCCTCGTCACCGGCCCCGGCACTCCAACCAGCAGCCCGCACTCCACCTCATCCTGCTCTGGCAGGCCGGGCGGCGGGAGGCGTGCCCAGGGGGCGGTAACTTCCGGTCCCGCGCCCTGACGGATTTTGTTTGGCTCCCTGGCCGGAAGTGCCCCTGCGTCGGGCGCCATTTTTGTTACGGGCAGAAGGCAAGGTTTGTTGTGGGTAAAGCATGCTCTCAGAGGAATGATTGGTCGTTGACCCTCCCTCCCCTCTCCCCCCACATCAGCCTCCTCCCGATTCTCCCATTCCGGTTGGCACACCTCTGCCCAGCCTCGTCTGAGCCGACAGCCCGGGCTAGCTGAGTGAGGGAGAGCGGAGGGGAAGCCGGGGGAGGTGGGGCTGGAGCAGCCAGAGCCGCGGGAGGGATCCCCGCTTGCTGACATATAGGAAAGCCCCTTGGCCGCTCTCTGCCTGAACTGGGTTTCTGGGCGTGGAGCACAGCTGTGAGTGTGTGTGTGTTGAATTACTTTAGAGGTGAGACGTAGGAAATTGATGCATCCTTGTCTCTTGCTTCTCAGACTTTGTAGTTAAACTGCAGATTCTGAGTCGTTGGGTTAACATCCAGGGGAGCGGCTGCTGCTGGTCTGTACCGGGCTCAACACAATTCCTGAGGGTGTCTTTCTTTAGAGCTGGCAAGTGAGATGCAGTTTTGTTTTTTAATTCTTTATGGTTGAAAGTATTACATATGTCTCCCCCACGCATTGACCTCTCCCAGCCCACGCCTTCACCCCCCTATTGTCTGTGCCCATTGGTTTTGCGGATACGCATGTTTTGAAGTGAAGCCGCGTCATCTTCCTGAGCCTGAGGTTCTTCATCTATAAAATTGGAGTACTAATAACACCTACCCTGTTTGTTGTGAAATGGGTCAATATCATGTAAAGTGCTTAGTACAGTGTTGGGTGTTGGGCGTATAGCAAGAGCTGGATAAATACATATTTTTCTTCTTATGGACAAAAAAAAGGGGGTTCTGTGGAAAGTCACATCACAGGGCAGTCTGATCATAAGGTCCTAACTGGGCAGGTCATGGTGGCTAGTCATGCCCCAGACCTATACTTCCTTAGTGGAAGGTTTTAAACCAGCCCTGCCCCTTTCTTGTGCATCTGGGTTAACACACTTAGCCCCCCTGTGCATTCTTCAATCTTTCTGACATCCCTTCATTTTAAATGTAAGGAATTAAAGAATTCAATTCTTTGTAAATCAGATTTAAAAATTAGGAATAGTGTTAATCTGTTGAAAAAGAAAAGCCTATATATACTATGCCTGCCAACAATTCAGCAACCACCTAATAAGCTGCTACAGGCCCAGTGAAACTGAGGAACTATTATTATGTGATGACATACATTCAAAGAAACCTAAGCAAGGTGATTTAAAATAGTAAAACTGGCAAGTTTACAATAGGGAGAGTCTTTTGAGTAGTGCACAATCACCTTGAAATTTTGGAGGACAAGGGAAATGCTTTGGGATTTCAAAAGTAGTCACTCATTGCAAGGTAGAGATAAAAACAGCAAGAAAAAAATGACCCATCACTACTGATCACTGCCAAGAATTCTATTGTAGTACTAATAAAAAACATTCATACTTGAATTGTGGTTCAAGTCACCGAGTACAGTGGAAATGCGTCTTTGAGAGGAAAAAACCCAAAAGTAGTTAGAAAATTTTCTTTTTAGGTATGATTTTCCAAAGAAGTCCTTTAAGTAAAAATATAGATGAGCTACCTCAGCAATTATAGTCAGTCACAGACTTATTTGAAAGCTGAATCAAAGCCAAAAGTTTTTATTGGGACAAGCAGTCAATGGGATATCACTTCAAGCTGCAGATTCATCGAAAATACAAAATGTTTGTATGTTTTTAAAACTTGGATTTAATATGTTTAGTTTCATTACAGTCTTTTTAAATTTGATTACTAATACCTGATCAAAGCAAAGCAATAAATTACAGAATTTTACAAAACCAATAAGGCATTACTTATTTAAGGTTTGTTTCCTAAAAATCAAATTCCTGGAGTTTGATATATACCAAACAAGTGTAAAAACAGAATTACCAAGAAGGCATCTGAATGGCTAGGTTAAATAGCCATGAAAAATACCCCAAGGACAAAGCTTGGATTTTTATGTAACATAGTGTAATGGAAACATTAGAACAGAAGCCAAATAACTTGGATTCCCTCCTGTCTGCTCTAATGGTTTTGTGTCCTTGACCCAACAATAACTTACGTTTCTATTTATACAAGAAACTTAGAAAATCAGAGGGTTTAGATGAGATGGTTTCTAATTTAAACTATTATAATTTTAAGTCTTCTAAGAAACATTTGTATGCGACAGCTCTACCTGGAAAGTTATAATCAGATGGGATGGCAGTTTGTAAGAAGACATATACATACATGACAAAACAGTAGAGAAACAAATGGTTGGTTCTAAAAGTACTTTTTGCTGCCAACTTTTTCAAAATAAATTCCTATTGTTTTTGAAGTGGAAAATCATAGGTCATAAATTGGTTTCTTCAACTTTATCAATACTCTTGAACAATATTGTTAGCTGCAGTTTTTATTAAATTTGAAGCCAGTGATATGCAAAATTTTACCTTCTTGATACTATTTAAGAAGCTGCTTTTGAATTATGGTGGTTGTGTCTCCCTACTTCCTCAGAATTCATATGTAGAAGTCCTAGGCCCCAGTACCTCAAAAATTTGGCCTTATTTGGGGATATTGGTCTTACCATATCCAACATGACTGATGTCTTTGTAAAAAGGGGACATTTGGAGACTGACCTGCATATAGGGAAAACACCATGTGAACATGAGACTGTCCATCTACAAACCAAGGAGAGGGGCTCAAAACAGATCCTTCCCTCACAGCTCTCAGAAGGAACAAACTATGCCAACATTTTCAAAGTCTAGTCTCTAAAAATAAGACAATACATTACTGTTGTTTAAGCCACACAGTTTGTGATAATTTGTTATGGCAGCCACAGGAAACTAATATAGAGCTAAGATTATTTTACCTTTATCAAAAGTAATTTGTACATTATCATGCCAGCAACCCCTTATTGCCTAGATCTTCCTAATTCTGTGTTAATACTCCAGTGGAATTTCTCAGTCAATAAATAATTGGAAATCAAAAATTTGGACATGACTTTGCAGTTGTATAACTGAAAATGAAATGTGAACAGGTTAAGCATTCTGAAATGTTACTTTTTCATTGTCGCATCCCTTACCAGTTCCTCCCCACCCCCCCACCTTAAATTCTTGACCATATATACACTATTTAATATATATATAAGGACTAAAAAAAGTGAGAATTAAAAAAGACTGCCAAGAATACTGGCCTTCTAGTGTTATTAAAAGAATCATTCAGATGGAGAGCCCTGGGAATTACTGATGGGGAATACAAAAGGAGGGTCTGGGTTCTTATTGATGGGAGTACCATTAGACTTAATTGTATATTACGTTACATTTTAGTTTTGGTTCTGCAGTACTTTAATGTCTTCATAAATGAAAAACTAAGCTTGTCTTGAGTTTAAAAAGTTAACAGCACCAATGGTTATGGAAGGAAAACACGTCTAGTATTTTTAGTTCATCTGGTTCTTACCCATTCATGATATCAGAGCACATGCACAGGATAATAGACCCAAAGAGTGGTTAAAACTATGAGTTACCATGCACTGAAAATATCGTATTTTGGAATACATTCATATACTGAAAAATGTAGCCATGCCAAAAGAATTAGACAATTAAAAATCTTGCTTGTTAATGGCAGTTCTCATAAATTGTTTAAAATCATCCTTTTTAACATCTCCAAAAATGCTGTATTTATTATTTTACATTAACACTATGGAAGTTAGAATAATCAAGTTGTCTCATGGACTGGAATATGACTTAATAATTCCCTTTCATTTCCAAACCTCATCAAGCAGTCACTACATTTATGAGGTAAGTCAGCCGAATGCTTGAAGTCTAGGTGAATTTTAAGATCTTCAATTTGTCCTGTTGAATATTCACAGTATTGACATAAATAAATCCCTTCAGATAAATGTGAATTTAAATGTTTGCAATATTCTAGCATACTTGAAAAGCCTTTGCCACAGTCATCACAAACATGAGGAAAAATTTTAGTATGTTCAATAGCAACATGCCTGTTAACATTTGTATGAAGTCTACTCCGAAAACCACATACTTGACATACAAAGAAGTTTTTACATCTGTCAAAGGTAATTTTGCTCAGGAGGCTGTACTGTCCATGCTCTCCATTGTTATATTTTTCACTTAACTCTATTAATTTACATGCATGTTCATTTACCACATGGCTATGCAAGTCTTCTGGATCATTTGTTTCATGTTCACAGAACTGACACAAGTACTGTTCATCACAGCTGTGCTCCTGGAAATGCAGGTAGAGCTCACTACTTGAGGAGAACTGTACATCGCACTGCTCACACCAATAAAGGTGATCACTAAAATGGGTGTCGGCAATGTGCTGGCTGAGGTTCTCAAAAATTACTGTCTTATAATCACAGTATTTACAAATGTAGGGATCCTCTTCATGCAGTTTGGCATGTTCGATCAGAAGCATGTTGGTAGAGAAACTTTCCTTGCACACTCGACACACATTTGAATCAGTACGCTTATGCTTCAGGATCATATGCTGCTTTAAATCAGAAAAATATTTGCTGTTGAACTCGCAAAGTTCACATTTATAGAGGCCACTGCTATTAGCTCTCAGCAAAGGCCATTTCTGCTGGGCAGTCACATTCAGAGCTTGGCTCTTGTCAAGAATTTTGCAAAGTTTAGCCGGTGGCTCTTCATCAGTTTGGTCTTGGAGACTCTCAGAGGAATTGTTTTCTGCCTCTAAGTCGTAATCTTCAGAAATCGCATGCACTTCTGCAGCGATTGGAACATCTTCAGCCGTGTGGACTTCTATAGGACTCTCCTCTTGAGTTTGTTGGTTGAGTGATTCAGGTGAGTCACACTCCTCATCACAAATTTCAACATCGGCAGATTTTTCTGAAAAATAAAGCAAGCCTATTATTACTATTACTAAATAAAACCTACTAAATAAATAACTGGCAAAAATTTATTTTACGCATTATCCTTTCATTGAGCTATAAAAATATGCAAATGCTATTACTTAGTTTCCCTAACCTGTAGAAAAGGCAGTGTGGTCTAGAATTCTAAGTACGGGACTGGGAACCAGATAGTTCTGATTTCTGTTTCTGGCCTTGACTCCGTCTGTAAATTTTGGCAAATCATTTGATGTCTCTGTATCAGAATCATCATCTGTAAAGAGAAGTTTGGAAAAACTTATTGTTTGTATCAAAGTATTAAATGTTAAATATTATAACACAAAGCACCAAATATTTTAAATATAATTTTGAATTCCAACAGGAATAAGGACTTTGATTTGAAGACGTTACGTATATCACAGACACATAGAAAATCTGTCCAAACAAGCAAATGTTTTTGCTCCTGTGCCCCATTTGGACTAGAACACATTTTTTAATGTTACTGAATTTGAATAAGCCTTTATCCCCTCAGCCCAGCCCCAATGTTTTAAAGTTAGCATGGATAAACTGAAATACAGGTCAGTAGAGAACACTAGGCTTCAACCTAACGTCATTGTTGTTATTTTTTAATGTTATTTTTTAGAGAGAGAGGAAAGGAGAGGGAGAATGAGACAGAAACATCAATGAGAGAGAAACTTCTGATCAGATGCCTCCTGCATACCCCATACTGGTGATCAAGCCTGCAACCCGGGCATGTGCCCTGATTAGGAACAGAACAGATAACCTTTTGGTTCATGGGTCAACGCTCAACTACTGAGCCACACAGGCAGGGCTGTTGTTTTTAATATACTTTATTTTTTAGATGTTTAAGATTTACTGAAAAATTTTGAGTAGTACAGAGAATTCCCATATATCCTGCAGTTTCTCCACTATTAACATCTTATAATGTTCATTTGTTACAATTCACGACCAATGCCGATAAATCCATACTTCCTCCAGGTTTCCTTAGTTTTTAGCTAATGGCCTTCTTCTGTTCCAGGATCCTATATGACCTTTAGCTGTCAAGTCTCTCTAGGCTACTGTTAGCTGTGGCAGATTCTCACACTTCCCTTGGTTTTGATGACCATGACAATACTGAGAACAGATCGGGTATTTTGTAGGATGCCCACTATTAAAATGTGTCTGTTGTGTTTGAATGATTCAACTGGGATTATGGGTTATTGAGAGCAGACCACAGAGGCAAACTGCCATTTTATCACAACTTATCAAAGGTACATTTGATCAACATGATTTATTACTGCTGATGTTCACTCTGATCACCTGGTTGAGGTAGTATTTATCAGATTTTTCCTCTGTAAAGTCATTCTTTTACTTTCATTTACTCTGGGCTTTGGAAGGGGGACACTACAGAGAGTCCACATTTCAGAAACCAGGATTTACATTCCACCTCCTTGAGGGAGGAGTATCTACATAAATAATTTGGAATTCTTCTGTACAAGAAATTTGTTTCTTCCCAAGTCTTGTCTGGGAGAGGTCAGTAAGCAGTAGGCATTTCTCCAAGAAGCCCTAGTTCCTTTCATTGGAGAATGATACTAGACACCAAGATCCCAACACTAGATGTGCTCACTGCTACTGGGTGTCATTTCTTTTATGCCCTCTCAGACAATGAAACAAAAAAATATATGTTTGTGTATACCACCACATTTGTATAAACATACCTATAAATATTTCTGTATGTTACATCTGTGTCTATATCAAGCCAAACATGAGTTTATACTGATGTCTCTGACTCCATATTATTTTTAATAATTTATGTTTCTGTGTCTGTAACAGGAGCTCAAGAAAACTGAGAATTTTGATGGTTACAGAGGAGAGAGAAAACAAACCCAAATTATCATTCATTCAATGCTCTAGAAAAGAGAAGCCAACAGAAGATGAAAGATTGAAAAAGACCAAATTCTTTATTCTCTGTTCTTTCCTTCCATTAGCCCTCCAGACTGAAAGGTATAGTTGAGTGAAAGAACCATGTATACCACCATTCTTAACTTTTAACCATAATACTCCCAACTCTGCATCACTCCAGCTTTGCCACCAATTCCTAGCCAACTAAAATAGATTTAGGAAAATGTACTTTTTATTATATATCTGAAATAATGTTAAAAATTAAAATTCACTTACTTTATTACAAAAAATAGTTTTCTTACATTTAAACAAATTTAAACACTTGCCCATTTTGAAATCATAATTCACCCACATTTTCAAATAAGTAAGAAATGATTATAAAAGTAATTTAAAGAAAACATATTTTGGAAAATATTAGGTATACCTTTGTTGTCAAAATATTTTAAGTCCGGTTGTCTCATAGAACAGACACTGTAACAATGATCAGAAAAAATGCCACTGAATCCATCTGCAATTCTGCTTATTCCAGAGGAATCTAAACATAAAACAAAATTTTAAAAATTTCAAGCACAGTAAACACATATACATTGATGACAGCCACCCCTTTATCCAACAGATGTAAATTTTTATAGTATCTGTAATAAAGTAACAGTTCCCTCAGTTCTGATAGCTTTTATATTTCAGACCTGATATTAACATTGAGTTTTGAAAGAACCACAAATTATACAATATAAAAATATAATACTCTGAAGCATATAAAGATACCTTACTGTCTAAATCCCACAAAATAAAAATATGCAATTAATGTGTTAATTGCAAAAAAAACAACCCCAACAACCCCAAAACCTAAATTAACTCCAAGAAGACATTTTATGAAGTGCAAAGAAAGCACTAATGCATAGGAAAAATGGTGGGAGGACCAGTTAGGGCTTCTGAATAGAGTCATTTCAAGTCTTGTCTGGGAGGAGTCAGTAAGCAGTAAACTAGATTTAATTTCCTTAGGTGTGAAGAATGTGTAGGTTGGGTGGGCTAACAGGTATGCCTGAGATCGTTCCAAGTACTGTTCATGGGAGGTATATTACAGATGACCACAAAGATCTCTTTTCCTTTAAAAAAAAAAAATATTTTTATTGATTTCAGAGAGGAAGGGAAAGGCAGAGAGATAGAAACATCAATAATGAGAGAGAAACATGAGAGAGAAACATTGATCGACTGCCTTCTGCATGCCCTACACTGGGGATAGAGCCCATTACCTGGGCATGTGCCTTGATGGGGAATCGAACCGTGACCTCCTGGTTCATAGGTCGATGCTCAACCACTGAGCCATGCCAGCTGGGCAAGACCTCTTTTAAATACTGCAACCAAAGGATCTAATATTACAAAATCAAAATGGAAGTTCACATTTCTGAAAGTAATATATAGAATAAAAATTTTTTTTGCAATGTGCAAAATATCTTCTAACAAGGTTATTGTGCTTAAGCACAAGGTTGGGAAGCACACAGACAAATTTCAATTATGCTGTATAAGTTCCCAACCATTGATATTTAATTTTAAATATCTATAAACCTTAAAGTTGTGAGGATTAAATGTCTATAAGTTCTGATGTGTACCTAGCACGTGGTAGACAAAGAAGAATTTATACTCAGAGAACTTATTTAAAATTTTCTCTTATTTAAAAATTGATTCAGATATATAACTTTTATCTGATCATTTATGAGAGAATAGATTGGAATACAATTGCATAGAAATTAATCCATGGCTCAACTTTAAAATAATTCACTAACCTGAATAACGAGAAGGGTGTAAAGTCTTCCTTTTTCTTTTTTTAGGGTATTCATTCATATCTTTTCAATCTAAAAATGAAAAAAATTTAACAAATAACCATTGTTAATCCTATATAATAAAAGGGTAATATGTAAATCAACCAAATGGTGGAACGACAAGTCGCTATGACTTGCACTGACCACCAGAGGGCAGATGCTCAATGCAGGAGCTGCCCCTTGGTGGTCAGTGCACTCCCACAGGGGAGTGCCGCTCAGTCAGAAGCTGGGCTGGCGGCTGGCAAGCAGGAGCCTCTCCTGCTTTTGCGGCAGTGTCAAGGATGTCCGACTGCCAGCTTAGGCCCGCTCCCCCAGGGAGTGGGCCTAAGCCATCAGTCAGACATCCCCTGAGGGCTCCCAAACTACAAAAGGGCACAGACTGGGCTGAGGGACACCCCTGCCCCAGGGGACTGTGCCTGCCACCCCGGCGGGGCTGAGGGCACTGGTCGCCGCCATCTTGTGGCTGTGGGTACCGCCATTTTTAAGGGTGTGATAGTCAATTAGCATATTCCCTCCTTATTGTCTGTGGGTGTCGCCATCTTTGAGGGCGGGGCAGTCAATTAGCATATTCCCTCCTATTGGCTGTGGGTGCTGCCATCTTTGCGACAGTGTGAGGGTCAATTAACATGTTCCCTCTTTATTAGATAGGATAAATTGTGCCTATGATAACATATTAAGAATGAAACAGGAGCATTTTTTAAAACTGGGAAAATTTTGATATAGTTTTCAAGCAAAAGGTGAATATGATCCCTTAAAAATGAATATTTTCACAAATCTGTATTGATTCCCTGGCTTTCAGGAAAAATATCCATCACACTGAAGCTCAAAATATAATTTTCAACAAGAAAACCCTTTTCTTATTTATAAGGCACCTTCAACAATCTCCTCAGAACAAAACATATATGGCAATAACCATGGTATAATTAAATTTTCATGGACTGTTATAAAATTGACTCATTCGTTTTACCACATTCCACTTACTGGTATAATTCTTAATATGGAAGTGAGGAAAATTGAATTACACCGAAGTTTTCACAGATGGTAAAAAGTACCTGTAGGAAAAATATGATAAAAGTCACAATGTAGTTCATTTCTGAGACTCAAGAATACAATAGTACCAAGATCTTTAATCAATTGGAAAGTTATACAGAACTGAAGTATAATATTCTTTTGAAGATGCTGTATTAAGTACTCAAAACTGTATATATTGCTAAATATGTAAGTATATGTAAATGTGTCATATTTCTTTGAATGACTTTACCTTCTAAAGCTATATCTTAACACCAAAATAGGAATGCAATTCTGCATAAATTTATTCAGCTGTAATAAAAGCAAATACCAAATCACAGACTTTTACTATTTAAGTCCTTATAGATTACTTACTAATAGAAGAATAATGATCACTTATTGAGCACCTATTATGTACCAGGCTATGCCTTCTCTCATTTAATCCTGTGATATGCAAAATCCACTACACTCTCTCAAAATCATTAGTGGTAAGAAACTGAGGCACACATTATTTTTGCTGCTTCACAAAGTCCTGGGTATATTAGCACCACAGGGGATGTCATCATATGGAAATAAGTAGTGCTTTTTAGTTTATTGAGCATTTTCCTAACCCTTATTTTATTTAATCTTCACAACAATCCTGTGAGGTACATAGAGGAGCCACTACTAAACCCACTCAATATTACTGATGATGAAACAGACTCAGTAAAAGTCAACTAAGTGGCAGAACCAGAGATTAAAAAAAACCCAAAACCATGGGTTTTGAACAGCTAACTGTGTGAGTAAATCTTCACTGTCAAGCTCTGCTACCAGCAAGTTACATCTTGCTTCCAGTTCTTATTCAGCTACCAATTCAGAGAAGGGGGAAGGGAATCACCCAAAGAAACTGACAATCATGAGATATATAGAAATGATATCAACATATATAATGCCTCACCTAACAAAACAAATAGCATTTCTTGGGCCCATCCCAATCAAGTGCATTCAAAAGTAAAAGAAAAACTGTTTTCATTTTTATGTAATAAACCAAAATTTCAAGGCTTATTCTTAATACGTCTTTTTTACACTTCCAAAATTTAACCAGCCAAAAGCTTTATACTTCACTAGGCCTGGCTGGTGATCAGGGCCGATTGGGGCCTGCCTTCATTCCCAGCTACTGGTTGTCAGCTGCAGACCGGGGCCTGCCTTCATTCTGCGCTGCCTCCTGGTGGTCAGTGCACATCATAGCGAGCGATCAAACTCCCAATCTCCCGGTTGAACTCCCCAGGGGACACTTCGCATATTAGCCTTTTATATATATGGATGTTCAAAATGCTCTACAGGTACCAGGGAAAACACTGAAAACTGGCAGCCAAATATGTTCAAGTAGCCTCTTTTACTTCACAATACACTTCAAATTCTTTCGAACATGAAGAATAAAAAAGAAAAGGAAACCGAGGATGGCATTAAAATTAACGTTGCAAGCTGGTCTGGATTCAGACTATTAGGTGAAATAGGATCACCTTGATCAGAAAAAGATTTGACTCCTACTTAGAGTTGAACAGTATCTAAACGCTTATAGACCTCCTTTCAGAGATGGTAAAATGCCCACTCAAGACCAAAAATTTTTAACCATCTTTTATTTCAGCAAATGTTTTCATGTGCTTTTTGTATGCACAACTGCCCAGATGAAGAAGTTTAGCTTTTACTTTGGGACATCATATAAACATTTGCCCACTAGTCCTTATCTCATGGGGAAGATTCTGAATCAAACTACTGATATATGTCACTGCAGGAAAATTAGAAAAATATTTTTAAAAAATATTTTATTGATTTTTTACAGAGAGGCAGGGAGAGGGATAGAGAGTTAGAAACATAGGTGAGAGAGAAACATCGATCAGCTACCTCCTGCACCCCCCCCACTGGGGATGTGCCTGCAACTGAGGTACATGCCCTTGACTGGAATCGAACTCAGGACCCTTCAGTCCACAGGCTGACGCTCTATCCAGAGCCAAGCCGGTCAGGGCTAGAAAAACATTTTTAAATCAATCAAGTCACCTAGCATCTATACACCCAGAAAAAACACTATTAACATTTTGGTGTATAGACTTCTAGACATTTTTTTATTCTAAGGTATACATTAATTTGCATGTACAAAAATGAGATCATGCCACAAGAAACTATTTTAAAAAGCAACTTACAAAATACATGTCAGGCCCTGGCAGGCTTTGCTCAGTGTTTAGAGTCTAGACTCTCAGCTAGCAGAGGAAGGGTCTCGGTTCAATTCCCAGTCAAGGGCATGTATTTTGGTTGCAGGATCGATTACTGGCCTGGTCAGGTGCCTGCGGGAGGCAACCAATCAATGCCTCTCGCTCTCTCTCCTTCCCTCCACTCTCTCTCTTTTTCAACAATAAGAATATCTAAAGGCCTTTCAGGCAATGTAAATATTCTGTTCCTAATTAGTATAAAAATAAAACAAGCATGTACAATAAAAAGCTACAATCTAATACCAAAGCTTTAAAACCACGTTCTTTTCCGCCATCATTTAAAAATAATTATATGGCCCAGCCGGTATGGCTCAGTGGTTGAGCGTCGACCTAACAACCAAGCGGTCACTAGTGGATTCTCGTCGGGGCACGTGCTCGGATTGCGGCCGGTTTGATACCCAGTAGGAGGCAGCGGGTCGGTGATGTTTCTCTCCTCAATGTTTCTCTCTAGATCCCTCTCCCTCTCATTCTTTCTAAATAATCAATGAAAACATACTTTAAAAATAAGTAGATGTTTTCCAGGTTTCAAATGAATTTAAACACAAAAATGTTGCAGGAGCGCTTGAATTAGAACCCACTTATATGTTCAACTTGTGTCCGTCTTTGCCACTGCAGAGAGAAACTGCTTCAAATTAC